CTCATATGAATTTCAGACTTTCTTTTTGTACAAAGTTCGAGTTACGTACTTGCTCTGAATTATGTTGCGACGAAGTTACATCGAAAAGATTGCTTGTTCGGCATTTATATACAAAGTAGCGAATCGAAAGACTCGAGCAACGCGCGCTTGATGTCCCTCGTAAAACATCACCAACAGTATTTTATTGGTCGATTGAGAGGGCGTTTTGTTTTAGCAGATAAGGTCGATAATGCAATAATCCTTTATTGCGCAATTGAAAAGAATATGAAGCGCGAGAAAAAGCGAGAAAGAAAGTAAAAGAAGATCATATTCTTTGAGTCATCGAACAATCTTTACGTTTTTTTTACGAACTGACATAAATCGACTTACTTGTAAGTTGAAGTACTGAAAACTGTTTTTATCTAATGAGAGATAAACCATCACAGTGATTCTTTGGATGTTAGCTTTTTTCTTCATACCTTTTCTTTTGTTTTTCACAGGATTCTACAAAAAAAAAACAAAAATACCAGGAAAAAAACAGAAAAACAAATAAAAAACAAGGGTGTACAAAAAAATACTGAAATAACAATTAATATATAATGTTTGACTTTTTTTAACACTACAAATATATTATTACTAAATAAGAGTAAAAATATTGTATTTTTATTTGGGAGCGCGGAAACTCTTGCCGGCAATATATTTCTAACTACGAGGACAACCGATAAATCGCGTTGAACGGAAGCAAATTGCGGCATCCGCCGATGAAAACAGCGATAGGCAAAGCCGCCGCTCTATTACGTATAATCCAGGATTTAAAGTCAAGACGATGGATCGAGACGGATTAGAAACTCGAAGTAATAGATGCCGAACGAATTGGTGAAGAAGAGACGCGCGGTTAAAGCGGATCAAGTTGGATTTTCGATTTGTGTTTCGCGTTCGCGGTTTTAATTACCGTTTATTTTTTTTTTCTCATGTCTTTAAAACAAGTTTATTTCCTTAGCGTTACATGTAAACAGTTTTGTACTAAAAAAAATTTATTATTATGTTTTAATTGTTGTACACATCCAGATAACATTGCATTGTAACGTTATATTTAATACATATATAGATAAGTATTTAATTAAAATTAAAGTACTGATTTTGTGTGTATGTCTGTGTAGAATACAGGGTGATTCAGAACAACCCGTTATCTTTGAAAATACATATTCTTGACTAAATTCTAAGACAACTTTTTATTTGGCAAAATTTTGTCTGACGCTTACTTTTTGAGTTACTAATAAAAATAGTTGACGTACCATGAGTCGGATTTAAAAGGTAGGCAGGGGCGGCGCAACTCACCGTGATTGACAGTGATTTATGTGATGCACGGATTAAATGATACAAATTGCGAATGAGTAAATAAATTAAGTAAGAGAAAAAAAGAGAGAGAGAGAGACAGAAAAAGATACAGAAACAATGCGTAGCGATCAGCTGATCGCGTCAGGCACCACACGTAATCGCCCGCGTCTCTGACGGTGAGTTGCGCCGTCCCTGCCTACCTCTTGCATTCGACTTGTGGTAAGTCAACTATTTTTATTAATAACTACAAAAATTAAGCTTCAGACAAAATTTTGCCAAATAAAAAGTTGTCTTAGAATTTAGTCAAGAATATGTATTTTCAAGGATAACGGGTTGTTCTGGATCACCCTGTATATATTCTATGCTACAATCTTTTTAGAGTGTTTACTTTAGAGCACGACTACTGTTTTGTTTCTTTCTCTCATATCATGTATTTTTATCTCTCTTCTTATCGTTGAATTACGAATTACAGCTGGCGAAAGCTGCTTTAAATCATTTCTTTCTCATTATCATTTCAAATGAGCCGCGATTAACGCGAATTAATTATCTACGATAGCAATAATCCGCCTCCGAAGTGATCCGAAACGCTGTCGCTAAACGTTTGTTCAATGAGAAGAAAAACTTAATCTCAAGATATACTCGCTATTTTGATATTGAAGAAAAAATTGATTAATTCGGTCTCCGCTGCAACTTACGTCGGCTACGAAGGGAGTGCGAATTAATTCTTGGAGTATTTAATCGATTGCGACGCCCTCTTTAATAAAAAAACGTTGTCAAAATATCGTTTGCACATTATCTACGCGCAATAAAGAAATATTTATGCAACTTGCGCACTTACGATAAGAACAGCGGATTCTATGCGTGCGCGATAACAACAAATCAAATCATCTTCTTGAAAGCATTTTTTATTCTTATTTTAATTTTATTTATTTCTAAAAGATGTGTGAAAAAAAATAGAAGTTTTTAAAGTAGAACTTTCCCCGAAAAATATTTCAGTCGCTGTTAACTTTTATAAAGTGAATTTTAATGATTTAATATGTTACATAACATGCAGAATATTTGTTTTAACGAAGACTGAAAAATTTGTATTGTTAATCTTTTTGTTAAAATTTTGATTGAAGTATATCTCTCGTAAATAGATGTAGAGATAATTGTCGACAAAACGATACATATTGCATAATCGCAAATTGGAAAAAAGGGAGCTAATTTTTTTATGATGATTGTAAACATATATATAATCCGAACATATGAGTTGCATCATTCAGTCTTGCGTATCCATAGCCGATTATCGTGCACACGAGCGCAACAAACGTGAATGAAAACAATCGATATGTAAAATAGCGAATGTCAAACTCAAAAAGATGTAAGTGATTTCATTGTGAGAGAGTAAAAGCACGCGCGCGCGCGCGCAAGTGATGATTTCGATAATGCGGTTGTTTATAAGAGCCACAATCGAGAACAAGGCGTTGATTGTAACGGACTATTAATCGAACTTTTTCGAAAACTCGCGCAATTCTTCGCACCGGGTTGTACGAGAATTTTTTCGATCCGCACAAATAGCTGACAGAAAGAACTCCCGATACACTACTTGTCGAGAACGAGGTTCGAGTTCGTTGGTTCGATATAAACTTTTATCGTTCTATGGCAATGTTCTCAGACACGGAATCAAAGTGCGAAGTAGCTTAGATCTCACGTGTAAATTCAGATTAGAGATATTTTCCCGCGATTTTTTTGCAAAAAACAATAATTGAAAAAATCGATCTCGTGAAGTGATCTCGTTAATTTTCAGCGTTAAAAGGCAAAATGATTCGGTTTTGGAAATGTGTTCAAGAATGTTTAATTACGTGCAATGTTTCTATATAATTTAAAAAAAAAAAAGTACATTCTAGTCGAAATTTTATTGAAATCCACTTTGAGGTACACTTTTGTTTTGGAGCAGTTGCAAAGTCGCGATTAACTGAAAGCGACATGACGATTTTTCTTACATCGATTTGGTTAAAAGTACGCTTTTTAATTTAACGAAGCAACGCGACAAAAAAAAAAAAAAAAAAAAAAAAAAAAAAAAAAAAAAAAAAAAAAGCCGACGACACGTAGAAAACGTCGAGGTATTGATCGAAAAAGTATCACTTGTGCTACGTGATGCGCAACGTGAAGACTACATTTGGCCGAAGAAAATTTCGCGTACCTAAATGTACAAATCTAAAAGTACGTTTATTTATACGTACCGTAAGAGCTCTAATATTTCGACGGGAATAGGATAAGCGCATGTGTATTCGGCGAGAAAGAAGGAGCAGCAAATAGAGTCGTTTCTTATCTTTACTCAGTTATATCACGGGTCTCACGAAATTATTGAGTTGTCTACATGCACGAGAGAGAGAGAGAGGGGGGGGGGAGAGATCAGAAACGTGATTGAACTTCTTGTCAGATATTTCTCGCCGTCACAAATAACAAAGCAACTCTTTGAATTAATAAGGAAAACAATTATCTCGCAGTAAATATTTGAAAAAATGGAATTTAATTTTAGCAAAGAAGAAAGACATTTTGACAAAATGTGTTTTTAAAGGTTATATGTTAAAATTAGAAATATTTTTATACAATATAGAGAAGAATTAATATAGCGATAATGTAATAAAAAATAATGTTTATTTAAATAATATTAAAGGCTCGTGAAAGTTTCAATGAAAATATAAGGCCGATACGAGCCGTTCACAGGATGTTGAGCGGAACTTGTACGTGTATACATATATATGTAAACACCTATGACAAGTTCACTTGTAAATTTTTACAAGTGAGTTTTTTGAATTGAAAATTCAATTCTTAAATTCATACGGGATGCGGGATTTGCATCTCACATATGAAAAACCCCGAGAACCCCCCTAACTAATTTTTTTTAAATATTCAATTTATTTATAAAATTTTTATAAAAATTTATAAAATTTTCAATTCAAAAAACTCACTTGTAAAAATTTACAAGTGAACTTATCATAGGTGTTTACATATATATGTATACACGTACAAGTTCCGCTCAACATCCTGTGAACGGCTCGTATCGGCCTTATATTTTCATTAATGTTTATTTAACTCTGGATTTTGATAAAAAACAAAAGTTTACGCGATTATTTTCTACAGTTTAGAATTATATCGGGAGCGAAAAAGATTGAATGTGTGACGTAGTTTTTCTTACATAATTATATACATGTGTATATCTCTTTCATTCTCTTGTAATTAAACGGTTGCGGCAAACAATGATTATTGCTAGGCACGTTTAATTTGCATAACAATGTAGTCGTTTGTTCATCGACATGTATATGTTCCTCACTTTGCGCGCCGTCGAGAAAGTATCACGCGAACGACGAGAAGATTACGCTTCGAGAAATCAACTCTTAATCGGACTACGTGCTCGCTTTTCGAGAAAAACCAAGCTTCATCCGCGGTTATCTCTAAGCCAAGAACGTTCGCGCCATGAATGCCGGACATTTCTTTTAGATGTAGATGTGCAAATGAGTCTACAATGTAGATATATACTTTGATAAGAAAAGGGAAATGAGAAATACAGTAAAAACTGTATGTGTGTGTAACAGATTATCTTATTGTTACACTACATTCTTTTTTTAACTTAAGAATAGAAGATAACTAATCTTGATTGTGGTATATTAACTTTAAATTATAATTTGATTTTGCAGCGTGGATCGGGACCGGCTTCGAGAGAAGGACCGACAAGCTCGCGCGGCGATGTCGGTTCAAGCAGAACAAGCGGCTGCAGGAGGTTCTGATTCAAGACATCATCATAACCGTATGAACGCGCATGCACATTCTACCGATACGATCTTATTCTCCCGTCCGCCAGTTAGGGTAAGTGAAACATTTTGCATTCTTTATTCGTTAAAATTTCTGTTAAAAAATGTAAGAAAAAATAGATAACGTTATTGGTGATTTAAGATAAAAGTGTAGTTTTGTTTTTACGTGATAGTAGTATTAAAGTGTATCAAGAGATATGCGTCTTGATGCCTATTGTGTAAAAATGAATAATGAAATGAAAATATTGATATTTATTTAATATGGCAACATATAGATATGTAGGTATCTTTGTTCTCTGATTTTGTTTCTAAAGTATTTAGGTGTCTAACATTCCATCGTGATAAAATATTTTCGAAAATGGAAACATCTGTCACTCTCTGTCCACATTTTTAGTTCCAATGATCATTCGTTTTTTTTTTTTATAGAAAAAGATAACCAATTTCGTATTTCGTGAAATTGACACATACGCTTCGTGGTTTTAAAAATTTTATTTAGTGACATGAAAAATATGTTTGCACTAAAAAATAAAGATAGTGCCTGTCGATCAATTTTTGCTGTTCACGATTTCTCGTCTCTGTACGTTTCGCGCGTCGTCGCCGGTTTTTTTAGAATAGACAAAACTCTTTCTCGTTGAATGTGACATTGTAATAAGCGTGACTTCATTTGCATGGTGTTCGCGGTCCCAAAGTTGCGAGCACCATAATTAACGAGCTGAAGAAGCGTGAAAATCGAGCCAACATGTATTTCTTATCGCCCGTCATCTTTATTCAAACGGAATGTTGACTTGAGCGTTGTCCGATCGCTCAATGGATTTCTTTCTTGCGTTTTATTTTACAGTACAATTCCACAGTTTTATCAGAGTTATTAATTTATTTTAAAGATCAGGTTGAGAAAAAAAAAACAAAAAATGCGATCACTTTTCGCACACGGCCAAAATCCGATTAAGTTCATCTGTTTCAAAATAAAACGAGAATCTAATAAAAATACGTACGGAATTTCAACGTCGGAATGCTATTATTTTTACGGTTACGTATGCGCAATTGTGGGTATTACGCTTATGTGCCTTAATGGGTCTACTTTTGGAGACATCTGTTTTTGTCTCCTTCGAGACTTTTCCTTCGTGTATGTTCTTTGTTCGTTGAGCGTAGGTACAAGATTTCTCACTTCTCTCAAGAATCCACAATTCTCAAAGCTTCCACCAGTTTCGAATCTAACTTGGCCAATCGCTGCGTGTATTTTAACACGTTCCATGCCGCGTGGGTCGTATACGCCCCACTCTAGACTTTCCGTTTAGATCATATGCTATCTTCGCTATTGAGTGTGACATTATCATAAAATATTTTCTAAAATCATATTGATGCCTAAATATCACGTACAATATAGTTATTACATCGTGGGCATTTAACTACTATTTTCTTGACAATAATAATTTCTGCAATCGTAGAAATATTATGAAACATATGTCATAAACAAAATTGGTGGTCTCGAAAGCGTGGGGCGCATGCGACCCACGCGGCGTGAACAAAAAGTCATCGAAAATCGGACCGGCATGGAACGTGTTTAAGGGTCTGTAGAAAAGCCTCATACCGTTACGGCAAAGTCAAGAACTCGTTGGATCTTTCCCGGTGCTCGTAAACATGATGTTCATGTTGTACGTCAATTTTGAGGTTTTCACGGTTTTTATCAATTTAGTAATCATAAATTAAATCTTTCAACATGACGCAAAACTGTTGTCTACATTGCCTTATAAGTCTATTATATATACGCTTTGTTTATATGTATAAATTTTATTCTACACGTTTTTATATTTATGTCATAGAATTTCATTGCAATTGCGTGTAAATTTGTCGGGAAATCAAATAAATAGAACAACTCCAAAAATTGGTTTCTAAATATTGTTACTTCGAAGGAAGACACGATCGTTTCTTTCAAGAAGAGAAACGCAGTCAATTTTTCTACAACACATATCACACACACGACTCTCTTAACAACCATAACTGTAACCGCGCGTTAGTAACCGTACGATGAGTCGCAAAGCCGCTCGACGTCTTCGTCACCCAAGCATAACGTAAAGATAGAAACGGGAAGCTCGCGAAAGAAGCGAGAAAGAAAGAGAAAAAGAGCGACAGAGAGGTAAAGGAAAGGAAAGCGAACTGAAAAAAAAAAAGAAAATATGTAGGAAGTAAGAAAATGGCGCCGCAGCGATTTCTTACGGTTCGATCAGCTTTTATGATTTTGTTTTTGTCTTTCTCTATTTTCTTTTTGATGCGAAGCGCGCAGCGCCGCGAGCGGAAAAGCAGATTCCGCGACGCCGCGTCACACGTAGTGTCCGTATCTCCAGAATATCGTGTCCAGATAGCGCTCGTCGTCGCGCTCTCACAATATCGTCGAACGTAACGTGGTAATGCGTTACACAAAATCGACGTATAAAATATATCAGCTGCAATCCGCGCGATTATTCGCTCCGTGTGAATCCGTATAGATATATGTGAGAAAAAATCGTTACGAACGTGCGACAGTTTGACCTCATTAATGCGAAAATACGATATTTAGAATAATAAAAAAAGAAAAAAAAAACAATCGATCTGAATGACACGAAAACCCAAGAGATACTTAAAGCCCCTTGCACAATGGAAGGAATAGCGATAGCGATAGAAATAACACAGTTTTAGACACAGAATTCCAACTCGTCAGAAATTTTATCGCTATTTGAAAGACTTAACGCTCGTGAAAATGTCAACAGGAAATAAATAAGGCCAATACGAGCCATACGCAGAATGTTTGTGCGGAAACTATGCGTGTACATATATATATATATATACATGAAATTAAAATCATACGGGATGCTGGATTTGCATCTCACATATGAAAAACCCCGGATACCCCCCTAACTAATTTTAAAATATTGCGAAAAAACTTTTAAGAATTGAGATTTCAATTCAAAAAATACTTGTAAAAATTTACAAGTAGATTTCGTTACATGTATATATATATATATATATGTACACGCATAGTTTCCGCACAAACATCCTGCGTATGGCTCGTATCGGTTTTATCGCTATTGTTTATTCTGATTTTCTGATCTGCATTGGATACATGTGTATTTTTGTATGTTAGATTCCGCTGTTCCTACCGTTATTTATAAATATAAACTCTTTACAACTGGTATTATTTCTATCGCTATCGCTATTCCGTCCATTGTGCAAGGGGCTTTAAGAGATAATCAAAAAATATTTGGAAAACTATTTTCAAAGGAGATCAATATTTGTTATTGGTCGCTTTTTGATGAAACCAAGATACAAAGTTTTAACGATCTAAGTATGATCCAAATTTTGTAATTTATACGCAAGAGAAATATGTACTTAATATTAAAAAAAAAAAATACATATATATTTCAATTTTTGCGGTATTGTTTTTAATTAACGCTTTATCTAAGAATCGGAAGCTGTTATGTTTCGTGTTGTTATATTTTTACGCCTATAGGAGATCGTTTTTTTTTTCAGTTATCCGTCATGAAAATTCTCTCGAGTGCGCGCGCGCGCGCGGGATGGTTTATCGTGTTCCAGCTTACGATGTTTAAACTTCGCTGAGATTAAAGCTTACTTAGTTGGGAGATTACTCGGTCCGATAAAGCAGTACTCGATCGACCACGGAGAGACGCTATCAGTTGTAGTTGTGCCAACAAAGTCGAAAACTAAGCACCTCTAATAGCGACATTAACCGATAAACATGTGGTAGAGAATCGTCTTATCTTTCGCTGTCGCAACAGACGATAACCGTCAATTTATATAAAATACAGTCAATATCAATAAAGTATTATCGCGCTAATAAAACTCTGTACATATTCATTAAAAGTGTGAGAAAGAGATTGTGTGTTTTTTTTTTTTTTTTATCTGAAATCGAAACTCGAGCGGACTTTATACGAGTTATAATCGCCAATTCCCACGTTGAACATCCGTCGCAAAATAGGATTACGGAGCTCGGTCGGAATCTCACAGATGAAAAACACATTGGCTTGCGAGTTATTCTGGCGCAGGCGGAAATAAAGATGCTGCTACGTGTGTGTGGCGAAAAAATGTTATTGAACGAGAAGTTTGACGTTGTCCGCGCGGTGAATGTCGTTAAGCGGAGACAAGATATTTATTATCGAGATTAACGGGGGTACGCATTTGCACAAATAGATAAATTGTGATATAGCTTTATGTGTATTCATCGCGATATATGTGGTTTATACGTAACGTGATTATCGTATCTGCTTGTACCTGAATCTCTGCTGAAAAATATTTTCCGAACGACTTGAAATATATAAATTAAGAGAATGTTAAATCGATCGGAGCATTTATTTCTGGAGACAAAAAAGTAAGAACGTTAACAAATTGCGGAGTATAGCTTCGCTCGTTCTCGCCTCTCTCCAGAGATTTGCGCGCGCATCCTTTTTTCAAGCACTCTTGCAGTCACGCACACGCTTTTCTTACGCCATCTCGCGCCGCACACAGTTAACTTTGAGATAAGCATAGACTAACGAGAAGAACATAGAAAGAATATCCCACATTCTGTACGATCATACGTTTCGAATAATTCTGTGCAAAATAAAAATAAACATTAATAAAAAGCAAAAGTTTGAATAAAACTTATACAAACTAAGCGATCTTCGATCACGCAAACTAAGTTTTTTAGACATCTATGTATGATTAGAGTTTTGCAATTGCACATTGCACACTTGCAATATTAATATCCAATTTCTTCATTACTGGATGAGTTCTCGATAACTTTATTCAAAAAAAATATCTCCCAGAGTCAGTTTTCTTCACTTTTGTAAAGCTTGTATCTGGTTTTGCTATTTTGTGAAATCATCTATTGAGAGTTTAGAAAGTACCGATACGGAGAATCGTTTTGTTCAAACGCTTTACTTTTACCGTTAGCTCTAAGCAATCTTCTAAGATGTTTTTAACTTGCTCTCTTCTTTGCAATAATTATTACAATTCCGTGATGTAAAAGTTATTTCTCTCGTCGGTCACTACGCATACGGGACTTCCGAACAATTGTTTTTTTTT